AAATTTTTTTTTTTAAATAATAAAAGTGGAAAATTTAAGTCATGATTTAAATCAAATTGGTTTAAAACATAACAGCCCTGTTGAAAATAGTAAAAGTTACTTTATTCGTTCTTCCCCTGTACAATTTTTCTAATTAGTATTTTTTAAAATTCCTCAAATTGCATTTTTAATTCCCCCTTTTTGTTTCAATGTTCCTTTGAAAAAAAAAAAAAAAAAATTTGAAAATGTTTAAAAAATGACCATTTCCTGTCCCCATTGTTCACCATTAGAAGAGAGAGAGAGAAGGAGAGAGAAATTCCCACTGTTTTTCACCTGCTGAAGTGCGGAGTCACAAATGCGTTGGAGGATTTATGTAATTTGCATACACTATGTATGTATATATATATATATATATATGACTTGAATAACTTTCTACATAATATATTCAACGATGATGGAAGAACATGAAAAGGGATGCGGGGAAAGAGTGCGAGGTATAAGTGAGAGTTGAGTTAGCAGAGGGAAAATATAATATAATATGGTAGCTGCAGAGAAGGATGGTTGAGGAATTGAGGTTGTGAGGGTTCTAGTAAGCGACGCGACGCCCTCCATCATGAAGCTTTAATTAAAATTACGTACGTTTGCACATATAACACGAGTCTCTTTATTTAGTATTTTTTATGAGCTTTTCATTACGCGCGAATGTATTTCCGCACTGGGACCATCTTGAAAAATCTGCGGCCACTACTTACCATCTACTTTAACCCTTCAACTCTCCATTCGAGTATTTTACCATTTCTCATACACTTACTGATACTTTTATTATAAATCTATTTTCATTTATTAATTTCAAAAAAATTGTCCAATTTTTCTTTTTTTTTTAATTTTAAATACTGTTTTCAATTTCTAACTAAAAATAAATAATTAAAGAAAACATTGAAATAAATAAGCAGATTTAAAAAAAAAATTATTTTGTTGTATTTTTACAAATTACGCCTTAACGCCAAGAAACATTTTTCAAATGAATCATAAACTATTCTACTTGCATTTTACAACAAAAGAATGAAACTGAGTCATGATTGTTAAACAATTATTTTAATACCGTTACGAAAAGCAATTTGTTTGGTCCACTTATAAATAATAATAATTATTATTACCACCTTTTTTTTATTATTTATTTTATTAATAAATGTTCAGAAGTGCAATAATATTTATATTATTCATTTCTTGTTTCTGAATCACAATACTCAGAAGTCATGATACTAAAAAATTGTAGTAAAATTTTTATTTTTATTTCTTTTGTATTTAACGTCTATTTACTATTATATTAATATTATTATTTAAATTTTTATGACACTTATTACAAAAGAATTGTAAATAACGGTTTTGACGAAAAGCAAATATTTAATTACGTAAAATATTATTATTACCATTTTTTTTTTTTTTTTTTTTTTTTAGTCGAAAGTGAAAAATCTAGATACCTGGAATTATTATTAATATTATTTAATAATAATTTTGTTAACGTCTCATGATATTATTTCGCAAACAAAAACATTTCGCCGAACTAATTATAAAGTTAAAATACCAACAAAAATAATAATAAAGAAATGCACCAACAATGTGAGTAAATTAAAAACAAAAGAATAAATAAATAAGTGAAATGTATAATATAAAATAGCTTGAGACTGACACAAGAGGTAAACATATTTTTCACAATATGTGACATAATAAAATAAAAAAGGAGAGCTGCTCACTTTTCTTTTACTTTATATACAGAAGTGTCTTTTTCTGTAGCTCTGCTACACAGTTTTTTAATTAAAAGCAGCGTGTACACTAATTAATTACAGTGGCATGTGTATATATATGTATGTCTCCTGGGATTTAATTTAAAAAAAAGAAAAATCTGAATCAGTATTCAATTTAAAAAGGAATTGCACAACGGACACAAGAAAAAAAAAGAATGTAAAGAAAAGAAAAAAGGAACAAATATAATTTTCATCTGCTGGTGAAAATCAACAGAGCGAAATGCCGAAGAACGTCTGGCTGACTTTCTTTTCATTTAACAACACACAGTCGTATAGTATATATATATACGACCACTTTTGTAAAGAAAGAGAGAGAAAGATGATGTCCGAGAGAGGTACGTCGTAGTCGCGAGGATTTAGCTTGATAATTCCATAAAACCGCCAAGCTCATGACGAAGGTTATCTTGTCGTTACTGTATCACGTCAAGCGTTAAATCCCAAAGAAAATAAAATAAAAAAAAGGAACAAAAACTGAGGTGATAAAAAAATTTTTAGTCGCGAGAGAGAAAGACTTGTAATGACAAAATCACATAATTATTTTTTTACTTTGTACACTTCTCTAGTTCAGAATTTGATTTTTATTTCTAGATTTGCAATTTTCTAATTGAGATTCATTTTTATTATTATTTTATTCATTATTTATTACTATTTACTATAATATTATTATTATATAATAAATGATAATATTATTCTTTAAATTTGAATTTATTTATTAACAGCAGTTCTTGGTTTCGGTGCGCTTCAAAAACACTTTACACATTTTTTTTCCTCAACCCTTTGGTTAAAAAAATTGCAAAATTTAAAAAAATAGAAATTTTTAAAATTCAACATTTTTTCTTCTTTTTATGTCATTTAGCTTCATTATTTTGGGGCTCTTCAAAAATACTTTACTTATTCAATAGTCTCGACTCTTTGGTAAAAAATTCAAAATTGTTAAAAATTATCAATAATTCGAAAAACCGAATTTCTTAAAATTCATCATTTTTTCTTCGTTTTTATGTCAGTAGCTTCATTATTTTTGAGCTCTTCAAAAATACTTTACTTATTTAATAGTCTCGACTCTTTGGTAAAAAATTCAAAATTATTAGAAACTATCAGAATTTCAAAAAACAGAATTTCTTAAAATTCAACATTTTTTCTTCTTTTTTATGTCATTTAGCTTCATTATTTTTGTGCTCCTGGAAAATACTTTACTTATTTAAAAATCTCCACCCTTTGGTAAAAAATCTAAAATTTTCAAAAATATTCAAAAATTCGAAAAACCGAATTTCTTAAAATTCAACATTTTTTCTTCTTTTTTATGTCATTTAGCTTCATTATTTTTGTGCTCTTTAAAAATACTTTACTTATTTAATAGTCTCGACTCTTTGGTAAAAAATTCAAAATTGTTAAAAATTATCAAAAATTCGAAAAACCGAATTTCTTAAAATTCATTATTTTTTCTTCGTTTTTATGTTTTATTTTTGGGCTCTTCAAAAACACTTTACTTTTTTTTTGTCTCAACCATTTTGTTAAAAAAAAATACAACGAAAAATCGAAATTTTAAAAATTCATCATTCTTCTCTTTTATGGCATTTAGCTTCATTATTATTTGGCTCTTTAAAAAATTTTAGCTTGATAAATATTTTTTGGATTATTATATATAATATTTTGTAAATTTCTTAATATATTTAGAAAAAAACATGGACATTTACAATTATTAAAAAAAAATTTATTTTTCCTATTTTAATAATTGAATTCTCAAAGAATTTTTAGAAAATTGTTGATTTAGAGATGAAGTTTACTAAAAAATTATATATAGAAAATTACAATTACATAAAATATTATAAAATATGCTAAATTATATTTTTTTCTTGTAAAAGTATTATTTGAGTTGAATATTCTGAAACTTTTATTTATCCTCATTTTTGTATTGTTTATATAATTTTTTAAGTTATGTTATTTTTTTACTTAATTTACAGTTGATAAAAATAATAAACATCTACTTCAGATTTACTAAAAATTATACTAATATTACTATAATATCAGTAAAAATAGTAACAAAAAACTGTTAGAATAAAAATAGTACTAACAAAAAATTGTAGTAAAAGAAAAATAATAGTAACGAAAAAATACTATTAAAAGAAGTTCTAGTAATAAAAAATAATACTAAAAAATAGAAATACAATTAAAAAAAATATTAGTAATAATAAAAATACGAGTAGTATTAGTACAAATTTGTAATTAATTGAACGTCACTTTTATTATTATTATTATTATTTATTGAAGAGAATATAAAAAAAAAGTTGATTGAAATTTTCAAGGGCATTGAAAGAATAGTGTATATATAGACACGCATGGAAAAGATATGATTTTATATTGATGCCGCTTGATGATTAAAGGACGTATCTCTCAAAATTCTGATTGCCATTCTGTTACATGGTTGTAAACTCGCAGAGAGCCGAATAGTAACGACTTGGTATTGAATATGCAACATATCTACGATGCCCCTTCGTATGCATGACGTATCCATTATTGATATCCGGTATACTGGATAGCTGGTACCATTCAAACACACACACATGTATCAATGCCTGTGTGTATGTGCAATGCAATCCTTTTAGTGGACAAGGTAACCTTGTACCAAAATTATGCGCCACTCTAATCGTTATCTGCGGTTATAACAGCGACAAAGCCATTGTTTCCTGGTTAAAATTCATTTCCGTAATATATATCCTCGTATATATAATTTATCATTATATTATTTGCTACGTGTAGAATTTTAATTGTCAGTGAAAAAACAAATGGTATCACATTATTTTTTACTATTTTCTATATTAACACTGTCGATTAATATTAATTATTAGGTATTTCTATTTTTATAAAATAGCATTTCGCCGCAGTCGTCGTTGAGTTAAAAAAAATTCAAAAGACGAACATAACCTCAAAATTAAATATTAAATCGCAGGTTAAAAGGCGAAATGCTTTTTAAAAATTCTCTTCGTTTTTTTCCTAAAAAAAATCTACCAAATTTCTACCCTCTAGGTCAAAATGACTAATTTTTGAAGGGGACGATTATTATTATAGTTCATAATAATAGTAATTACGAAAATTGAAAGTGAAAATAACTGATTTTGTAATTTCTGTGGTTTTTACATTCTCATATTAAAAAAAAAGAGAAGGTCTCGCTTTGATTGATTTTCTAAAGGAAAAAAAATCTGTTTTTTTTTGTTGCAGGATTATTGAAGGGCTCCGTGTCGGCGGAACGACCACGAACATTGAGACGATTGCGGAACGTCTATGCGCCGTTGGCTTGCGGAATGGGAACTGGTGCCGACAGTGGTAGCGAGCGCCTCGACGACGGCGAGATCCCATTCCGGTTGACTGATCGCGATCGTGAGAGAGACGATAAGTCACTCAGTATTATGAGCCCTTTTGACGAGCAAGAAGAGTGGGCTAAAATTTCCGAAATTATGGCTTCGTTCGGCACTGGCCTCGTTCGTGAATCTGTATTCGTTAGCGAACTGGAAAAGGAGTTTCAAACAAGATTGGGTCAGTCCTATAGATTTAAGCATTCACCCTATAAATATATATCTAATGAATATCGAATTACCATCTTGTTTTACTTATCAAATACTATATTTACTTATAGCCCCTAAAAAAAGTCACTTAACTTTATTAACATCTTTTCCAATTTTTTTTACACTTTTTTTCTTTCTTTAATTTAAAAGGGAGCTTAAAAGTATCAAACTGCAACGAATTGATGCCAAAAATGTGGATCAAAATAATCCATTTTGGTGTTATTTTTTACTATGAATGGAATTTTACTTTAATAACTAATTAAGTAGCTTACTAGTATTCTAATTAACTTATTAACTTACTAACTTACTACCTAACATAATAACTAACTTACTAACATAACCTACCAACTTTCTAGCTAACTTAAAAACTTAATTATTAATTAACTTACTAACTAACTTATTAACTTAATAACTTATTAACTAATTAACTTACTAACTAACTTACTAATTTACTAACTACCTTACTAAGTAACTTACTTACTAATTAATTTACTAATCAACTAGCTAACTAACATGCAAACTTAATTACTAATTAACTTACTAATATACTTAACTTAGCTACTGATTAACTTACTAACTTATTAAATTACTAACTTAGTAAAGTAATAAGTAACTAAGTTAGTAAGTTAGTTTGGAACTAAGTTAACTAGTTAGTTAGTAACAAAATTAACTAGTTAGTTAATAACAAAATTAAGTAAGTTAGTAAGTAATTAGTCAATTAGTAACTAAGTTAAGTAAGTGATTAGTCAATTGGTAACTTAGCTATTAAGTTAATTAGTTAGTAAGTTAGTTAATAAGTTAATTAATAAGTTAGTAACTAAGTAAAGTTAGTAAGTTAATTAATAATTAGGTTTTTAAGTTAGTTAGAAAGTTAATCAGTTAAGTTAGTAAGTTAGTTAATAAGTTAAATTAGTTAGTAAGTTAGTTAATAAGTTAATTACTAACTAAGTTTGTAAGTTAGTTAGTAAGTTAATTAGTAAGGTAGTTAGTAACTAAGTGAAGTAAGTTAGTTAGTAAGTTAGTAAGTTAGTAAGTTAGTTAGTAAGTTAGTAAGTTAGTCAGAAAGTTAGTTAGTAAGATAGTAAGTTAGTTAGTAAGTTAGTTAGTTAGTAAGTTAATTAGTAACTAAGTTAGTTAGTATCTAAGTTAATTAGTTAGTTTGTTAGTTGTTAGTAATACTTGCTGGATAACTTAACCAAAATTCCATTCAGCCACAGAAAATTGTAGGGTATTGTTTTATTAACACCAAAATGGATTAAAATAATCCGCAAAGCTTTTATTCATCAAGAATTAAAATAATCCATCGAAAGTCAATTTTAGGACTTGAAATAGTACTTTCAATTTAATTAAAGAAGTAAACATTTTTCTCTTGTTTCAGGCTTGACTTCCGAGAGCACTAATAGTCCAGTTGTTTCGACTACCGTCGGTCAGTGGCTGTCCAATTTGGGTCTTGCTGATTATGAATCACTCTTTGTGAATTACGGATTCGATGATCTGGAATTTATTGTGAGTTTCTAAAGTGACGTTAAACTTTTAAATTTATAAGCGCAAAATATAAAAATGTGATCGTATGAAAAAAATTATTTTGAATTTTTAATTACTGACATTAAATTCATAATCTCTGATTTCAAAAATGGTTTTTAAGCCGATTAGAACGATTTTAAATTTATTTCGACCGCCATCTTGGATTCCCCATTTTGGATTTTTAAGATTTTTTATCAGATTTGTAACAAAAATCTGCAAAATATGACTTTTTTAATTTTCAATATTAGACTGGTTTCCAAAGTTGGTTAACACGACAGGTTTTTCAAAAAGTGAGGGTAAAAAGCCAGAAAGACAAAAAATAAAGGATTTTGAAAAAAGTTGGGGTAAAGACTAAAAAAATTTTTTTTCGTTATTTTTTATATTGAAGTTTTTTTTAATGTATGTTTGTTCTCTAAATATGTTTCTGGGTTCTAAAACTAGCGAATACGACAGGATTTTGAAAAAAGTGGGGGTAAAGACTCAACAAAAATTTTTTTTCGTTATTTTTGACATTGTAGTCCTTTTCGATATACTTTTGTTCTCTGAATACGTTTCCAGGTTCAAAAATTGGCTAAAATGGCCAGATTTTGAAAAATTTGGGGGTACAGATTCTAAAAATTTTATTTTGAGAGTTTTTGTATATTTTTTCTCTTTAACTTGACCCTGTTAGAGACTTCCATTAGGTATTCAAATAAAGTCTGGAAATTAAATATAATCTTATATACGCAAGACCAAAAAACGTAGGATTTTGAAAAAAGTGTGGGTAAAGACCCACAAAAGGTTTCTTTTCGTTATTTTTGACATTGTACTCCTTTTCAATACATTATTGTTCTCTGAATACGTTTCCGGGTTCAAAAATTGGCTAACACGAAAGGATTTTGAAAAAAGTGGGGGTAGACACCCAAAAAATTTTTTTTCCCCTTATTTTCGATATGGGAGTCCTTTTTAATGTATTTTTACCCTCTGAATACGAACCCAGGTTCCAAATTTGCTTATCACGTCAGGATTTCGAGAAAAGTGGGTGTACAGTACTAACTAATGTATTTTTGCAAGGTTTCCCACTACTTTTTCAATTTCTTCGTCCTCCATTTTGATTTTTTGAAATACTGTTTAATCCTTTTTCTTTGTTTCGCACTATTTTTGCAGAATGGAGTTTTGGACGAATCCGATTTACGTGACATGGGAATAACGAGTGATCAGGAACGGGCAGCGATATTAAATTCAGTGGGCCTGTTGCAGAATCGCGTTGAGAAACGTGTTACGCTTTACGGTCAATCGGTTGACGATTGGCTGAAGGGTATTCATCTTGAGAGTTATGCCGATACATTTAAGAAACATCTCTATACAGACATGGATCGTGTTCAACGGGTTTGGGAGGTGGAATTAGCCGCGGTATTAGAGATACAAAAACCCGCACACAGGAAAAGGATTCTCGCTTCGGTGAGCGGACCAAGTACAAGGATGCAAATGCGAAATGGAAACGGTGCCAATCTCGAGGACCTCAACAAGGATCTAAATACTTTGGTGAGAGAATTTATAAAAAGCTATAACAATATAATCTTCATCGCCGGTTGTAATTTAAACTAACGGTGATTTTTAAAGAGAAAAATAAACGTATAATTTAAAAAACAAATTTAAAACTTTATTCCAAGTTGTTTTTTGATTCTTATATAAGTGTAAAAATGGTTTTTTCCACTGGTATGAAAAATATGCTTTTTCTCACTAAGTGTTAAAATTGTTATTTTTGACACTGTTTTTAAAAACGTATTTTTCTTCCTACTTAGAAGTGTGTTTAACATTAAATAATGTTAAAACATAATTTTTCAAACTATTGTTCGCTGAATGTAAAAGTCATTTTTAAATTGTCGTATAATGAGAGCGTTTGTTTAAAAAAAAAAAAAAAAAAAAAATGGCTATTGTAAAACAATAATGCTATACAACAACAAAATGTGAAACAATTACCGGAGAGTAGAAATAAATTACCTAGGGAAATTGTTTTTGTCGCGTGTTGGAAGAGATGAAATCTGGATGGCAATTACTATCAGCATCGTAATTTCAGAGCAAATCAATTGTTTCGAAAAGTATAGCATTTGAAGGGGATTTGTAAGTAGTGGTGATGGTGGGAGGAGAGGGGGGGGGCGTAAAGTCGAAGGGTGATTCTGTTAGTTGTTGCCTGACAAGAGGTGTTTCACCGACAACAATACAGTTTCGAGGGCGGTAGAAGTGAAACTCACACGTCGTTCCTACCCCCTTATATTTCTCTCTCTCTCTCACTCTCCAGCTTTCTCTTGATGCCAGCCAATCGTTTCAAATGTTACCCATTTGATCGCGCACTCAGTACGTTATAATGTAAATATCTCGGCTAATTGGAGTTCCCGTCATTGTCCAAATGCAACACTTCACGGGGCTTTTCACTCTTTTCACAAACGCCATTCGTGCGGTAAATGATAATTTCTTCTTTTTTTTATTTTGTCACTCGTATCACTTTCCAGGCAAGCACATTTACGAGACGTGTAATTGGGACGTTCAACTGGCTTAATTACTGCTTATTATTAGCACAAAATCGTTCCCTTATAAATATGACAGAGACATACAGAGAGTGCGAGAAAATAATAACGCATTGATAATTCAATATTCATTTCATCTTTGCAATTATAAATTTAGTTACTTTTGTTAAAAAAATGTTTCATTACCCACAAGATCGGTTTTATTAATTGTAACTGTAATTAAAATAAAAAATTAAGTATATAACCGCCATATTGAATCCGCCATTTTGAATTTTTGATAATCAACGCCAGATTCAGAATAAGTAACCCTAAAAACTTTTTAATAGAAAGTTTGATGATTTTTCTTACAAGTATTGAAAACATTGTTTTTCTCACCACTGTTAAAAATAAGAATAATACTGATAGAAAATTTGTTGAATTAATATTGTCATTTTCTTTTTGTTACAGAAAACGAATATTCAGCAATTGAAGGAGGAAATTAGGGAAAAATTACCGGAGACTCCGCAGAATGAGGGAAATGTGACTATTAGTGGCGGAACGTCAACAACAACAGCAGCAACGGTGACGACGGGAACAGGAACATTGAGGCATAGGAAAAATAGACCAGCACCTCAACCACCACAAAGGCCAAGTTCGCATAACGGCGCTGTCTCAGCGCCCGAGCAACTTGAGATTCGAGCGCCATCTGAACTTTTATTCGGCGTTCCGTCAACACTCAAAACACAATGGAGGCATCATCCAAGGGATTTAGTCACTGGCTGTGTTACATACATCGCCAACGTGAGAATCTTTTTTAATTATAAATAATTATTTATGTAATTATTTATATTATTATTTATTTAATTATTAATTATAAACAATTATAATAAATAAATATTAAGAAATAATTTTCCATTCAAAGGACTTTTGTTTTCAATTATAAGGTGAACTATTTAAATTATAAATTAGCCCCTTAAGTATGCCGATGGCAAAGATTTTAACCATCGATTCTTTACCATGACACTGAAGGGAATAATAATAATAATTTAATTAGTTATTAATTAATAAGTTAATTATTATTATTATTATTTTACTGTCAATATAAGAATATAAAATTAGTAATACAATTTTAAATTTTATTTTTACGAATAGATTGTGTCACTTTTTAACTGTTAGTACACCGACGCCATCGCTAGGAGGCGCATGTCAATAGTACTAACTTTTAAAGTGAGAGGCAGTACTCGTTATTCTACTTTAATTTAATCAAAATAGAAATTATTAAAATCATTACTTCATTATAAATATTTTGCAACAAATAAATTAAACGTTAATAAACAATATTAGTAATTCTTTACAATAATAATAAAAATAATAATAATAATTAACTTTCAATTTTTATGAACACATTCAATTTTTACTTTTAACTAAATGCCAGTTACTTGTAACTAATTAAAAAATTTTAAAAATTTGTTTTTAATGTTAGAAACAATTTTCTGATTGATTGTTAACAGTATTTGGGCTCGACTATGGTTAAGGAATTGAGGGGGACGGAATCGACAAAGAAATCGATACAAAAATTAAAAAAGACCTGTCGCGATCCTCGTGTAACTCCGGACATCACTTTGGCAATTACATATCGTGGTGTTCGATTTCTCAACACCTTAACGAATGTAAGCAAAACAAAAAGTGGATACTTTATTCAAGAAAATTTGAAACATTCTTTATAGTAAATTAAAAATTTTTCCCAAGAAACAAATTTTGGTAAAAATTTTAAAAAATTTAAAAAATTAAAATAAAAATAATTAAAAGACCAGTGCAAAATTAAAATAGAAATTATAAAAATATTTTACATTTGATATTAGTAATTAATATTTTTACTTATGATACAAAACTTTTTATAAAAAACATCAAATTTTATTTTTAATTCACTACAAATTCGACAATTCATGATAAATTTAACATTTTACTAACACCAGATTTAAAAAAAAATAATCAAATTGTATTTTCGCATTAAATAGTAAGTAAATAATTATTTATCAAATGGAATAAAAAGAATTTTTTTCTCTCTCTTTTCAAATAGGAACCAATTTGTGAACACGAAATTCGCAATATTCACTGCGCATGCCAGGACGCGGATGATCTCACGCATTTTGCATACATTACCAAAGACCACGCGAGCCGTACCCATTTTTGTCACGTATTCTGTGTGCCAACAATGGTAAGTATTATAAAAACTAAAAATTAAATTAAAAAAAAATAATTACAACCAATTTAGTGGCGTCATTTAAACAACAAATTAATTTCAAATAAATATAAAATATATAAAAAATAATCCCATTATTAAAAAAATACTTATTTTCTACTCTATGTCGGTTAAAATTAAAGAAAAAAAATCATTCTCAAAATTAGTTAATTTATTTCCATTAATTTTATTCCTTGATCTAATTTCGAAATAATCTAACAGTGAAACCCGGAGTCGATAATGTAATTTCCTAAATTACCGACGGTTGGCAAATTTGGAACCTCTATTATCGACTGATAATTAGACAGATATCATTTTTATCGATTAAATGGTAAAATAGAAATGGACAATATTGATATATTTGTTATCGTTATTCATAACATTTTGATAACGTAAAAAAAATCGTTTATTTAACGTTTGCTTAACTCCATTGCAAAAAAAAGTGGAAAATTAGATCTGATTTCAACTATTAAAATAGAATTTAATGACGATTTAATATCCAAAAGAGGCTCTAAATTAATACTTATCATTTTGTAGTGTAGACAATTAAAACAACAAATAATTAAAGTACGTTTTTTTTATTCAAAAGGCCCCAGAAACGATTTTAATATTGTTTAACCATAAACAATATTCAGAATAATAAAGTTACCTAATTTACCGACTGTTGGTAAAGAAGACACCTTTATTTCCGATCCGTGATAAAATTTGAAAACCTTAAAAATATACTTATTTAATACTTAAAGATCTAAGGGAAGTTAATTTATTATATTATAGAAAATTATTATTTTACATTTATTGTATTGTTTATTATTTTATTATATTCTAAAGGAAGGATCTGTATTACCAACTGGTGGTAAAACAAGACCAGACATTACCGACCGTCGGTAAAGAAGGATTTTACATTACCGCTCATTGAGAAAAAGAGGTTTCTACATTGTCTACGCATGATAAAGTAAAATCCTATCCTATCTACAAAGATAAAGTAGAACTCTAAATTGCCAACTGCGATAAATCCACCACTAATTAATCTTAATAAAGAAAGTTATGTAATTTTTGTTTCAGGATCAAGCGACTGAAGTGATTTTAACACTTGGCCAAGCATTTGAAGTGGCCTATCAAATAGCCCTACGCGAAAAATTGGGCAATCATGCACCCCGTTCACAATCGGCCAATCAACTAATGAATATCACTATCACCAATAATTCAACAAATAATACAACAAATTTATCAACTCATAACGCGATTAATAATGAGTTGGAGACAAATTCAAATCATAACGTGATTAATTACAATAATTCGACAAATAATAGTAGTTCGACGATTAATAATAGTCTTAAACCAAAGCCACGATCAAAATCGATAACAAATCCAATTTTGGTCACATCATTAATACCCGTATCATCGTCAAATTTAAATTCAACAACAACAACAACAACAGGAACAGCAATAACAACAACAATAAATAGTAATAATCATCGCGAGCGTAGTCCAAATTCAAATTCTACCTCGAGTACAACATCGTCTTCAAAAACGAATTCAAATGCAACGAAACTTCTCGCGTCCCACGGTCGTTCGCATTCAGTCAACGATATTAAAATAAATGGCAATCAATTGAAATTAGCGCCAATGCCTGTTGATGATATTGGAATTGGCGTTAAGGACATGAAACCCGGCTCTAGAGCACCAATTGCCCTGTCCGAGGAACTATGACTTGCTTGTGATTTTTAAATATTCAACAGTCGATTAAGAAGCAAATTTTAGGAAAAAAAACAGTTTTTCTTTCTATTAAAAATATAATTTATAATAGTAGAGAAAATTTTTTTAAAATTATGTAACGGTTTTCTCATCTGGTAATGTTTTTAAAATCTATTCATTGATATTTTAAAGATTTATCAATTTTTTTTTTTTAAAATGAATTTTTGAATCAAATTTTTAAATTCATTCATTATTATCATTATCAAAAAATTTAAATTGATTTACAAAATTTTAAGAAGTTTTAAATTAAAGTTTAAAATCTCTTATATTAAATTTTTTAATATTTTACATTAAATTCTGAACTATTTTATATTAAGATTAAAGAATATTTTTAATTAAATATTTAATTACTTTTAAAATTACTTTTAATATCTTTAATTATTATCGATAAATAGATTGATAAAAATTGATTTTCTTATTGATATTTATATGAAAATCGATTTACATGATTATCGATAAATCCATTACAAAATAGATGATGAAAACTAAAAATCTATTTTAATTTTTTCCAGCGAGACTGGAAATTTTTTTAACCACATTCTCTTTTGTGGTTTTATCCGATAAATATCGGAGTGATAATTTAGCGTCGTTTATAAATGTTCAGTGATTATTTTGAGATATTCGAGTCCCGAGATATTTTGTTTTTTAGCAAATAAATTTTTTTTCTTTTCAATTTTTAATTAATTTAGTAAGTTTTGCAGTTATAGTAAATCGAAAGTATTATAAGATATTTAATTTTGGCTGTTTTCAAAGTTCGATGGTACAAAGGTAAGTACCAATCTCTATAAAAAAAAATTAATTTTTCCAATGAATAAAATTCTTTTCAAATTTCATTGAAATTAATTAAAAAATATTTTATTTTATTTCTTTTATTTATTTTTTTTACTTGTTTTTTTTGTAAATATAAAAAAATATGAAAAATTTACTTTAAAAAGATTTAATTCACTTATATAATTCAATAAAGATTTTTTTTAAAATTTAAAAAAAACTTTTTAGAAAAAAAGTTTGAAGATTGTAAAAATTATAAAGTGACAAAATTTACTATAAATTAAACGAAAAAAAGTATTTTAATTCATTGGAAAAATTACCGACAACAATGGCAAGTCTCTCCTCAAATTTTTTCCAACGACTTTCTATGAGAATTGTAAATCTGATTATTTAACGGATAATTATATAATTATATTAAGGACGTAATTTTAGTGTTCGATAAAGAAAAACAATTTTCCGACATTTATTAACGAATTTTTAATGTGATTTTTGATGAGAAAAGAAAAAAACAGTGTGAAATATTTCTTATGGTTCCACAGGCCAAAGAATTAATGAAAAAAAATCATTCATGCTCAATATAAACAATCATTATGTACCAAAAAAAAAAATATTAATCAGAATTTCAATACCACTTGAGCTTCCTCGATCGGTTTTTAAATCGATCGTTTTTTGAATTCTCAATTTTTCTTTCCACATTTTTTTAATTGTAAAGACTGAAAAATATTTTACAATCACGTTTCCGTCTTGAATTTTTGTTATGTAAAAAAAATGTTTTTTTAAGTAAAAAGGGGTTTTTTTATCTTAAAAAAACCGTTTTTTATATCAAAAACCCCTTTTTTCTTTTCGTCCTAAAAAAAATTTCTTGCAAAACTATAACAGATACACCAATAACTTTTTGAGCTTTTGATAAAAAAATAATTTATTAAAAAAATATTACGCGCTTGATACAATTTTTTACGTAGATTAAGAAAAAGTGCAAAATTCTCTTTTTTGATAAAATTTTTTTTAAAGGCGGAAACGAGATTTTTTTTTTAACAAACTACTTTGTAATTATTATCTACTCAACAGGGAAAGTGACTTTAGTCCTTTTCTTCATTTAGAATTTATTATAATTGAAAGCCAAAATAACAATGAAAAAAAAATCATCGCATTTTAAAATTCGAATTGTTTGAATTTTCACGTTTTTTAATATTATGTTATTTTCGAAGAGAAAAAAAATCGTTTTTTTTTGTTGATTATTCTTATTTTAATAAATATTATTTAATAAATTCCTTGTTTGTTAAGTTTTTTATAATGATTTTTATGCATTTTAGAATAATTCATAAACCTCCGTTTACCAAACAAATTTTTGAATTTTAACCTCTATTTACTACCTTAGAAAATTTATAATTTTTTTAATTGCAAAAAAATTGTAAGTTTTAAAAAAAATTTTTTATTTTTTCAAACATTTTAATTAGAAAAAATTTTTGATTATAATTAACAATCATTAGCATCATGAGACGAGACTTAGAAACTAAAATAAAAAAAATATAGTGATAATAATAAAAATATTGAAGTCGAAAAAATTAATATAAGATTTACTAAATAATTAAAAGTAAAGTATGAAATTCGTGTTAGTGAAAAATTAAAAAATTAACCTAAAATATTAAACTAAAAAATAATTTTTGCAGAGGAAAATAAATTTGGTTTTTTTAATTTCGTTCGAACCATAAATAAGGTTTTTAATAAAAATTTTATTAATTTTATTTATTTTTTCAGTTTTAAATTTATTTTTCACTTAATAATTAACACGCGAATAGCAGTTGAAAATAATTTTTAAATTTCATTTTTAAAAAAACCTTTTCTTTTTTTCTTTAAATATCAAGAGAAAAATAATTGAGCCAAAGAATGTAAATAATTTGCTAGTATTTTTCGTGAAAATAAAAAAGAAACTAAAAAATATATATATATATATATTCAAATAGAAACACACATTTGTTAAAATTTTTCCATCGACAATTTTCGATGACAAAAAAAACTGCCAAATTGTAAACACCAATCTTATGAGGCCACAAACGCACACACTTTGTACTGTTGAATATGCCTAGTCGCAAAAAAAAATTTTTTTGCGAATAATGGACTTTAGCGATCATTATTAATTTAAGACACGTAGGAGAAAGTTACATAATACGTAAATAAATCGAAAGTGTTTATTGAATGAAGAAGAAAAAAAGGTTACAGATTTCTGTTACCGACAGTTACCGACACTTGTCGATAATTGATATAAGGTCCCAAAAATCTAACACTCGGATCGAAAATCCAACTGAAAAATAGTCATCTCGTATTCCTTAGATAATAAAATTTTTTAGGTGGTAGATGAACTATGAATTTTACTGATAAAATACTTTAAAATGTTTGATGAGAGGAAAGAGGGAGAAAACTTAGCGATAATTGAGACTTTACAATCCAAAGCTACTATGGAGAATCCCAAAATAATTTTAGATAGTATTTTTATTTAGTTGTTAATTTTTATTTAATTGTTGTAATATTGTGATTAGTTTGAAATTTATTTTATTTTTTAACTTAGTTTCTATTTATTTTATTTATTTTAGTTTCGGCGAACGAGTAATGGGAGACGAAGCGCAGTGATTCGTTGCCGCACGCGAGTAGTGGAGGGTGACGCGCAGCGATTCGACGCCACTCGCGCGTAGTGGGGGCGACGCGCAGCGATTCGTTCTCGCTCGCGCGAAGTGGGGAGCGAAGCGCAACGATTCGCCCTCGACTCTAACGACGTACGATTTTATTTTTTCATTATTTAATTTAACTAAATTATTCTATTTACAATTCTATTTACAATTCTATTTACAATTCTATTTGCAATTCTATTTTTCAATTCTATTAACAATACCGATTTCTTAGTAAATACCCCAATTTTTAATTAATTACGATCAATTTTTTAAACAATAATTCTCTTCAAGAAAATAACCATCTTCAATCTTACTATGTAAAAACTGTGATAGATAAATAATAATTTCAATTTACTTGAATCTTAAGAAATTAACACCTTCTTTTCTCTTACTCTTTTTAAAATATGTGGGATAAAATGAGAAAATTAGTACTCGCACAAAAAAGTCATCAAATTGGACCAAAAATGCAACCTGCAAATACGAATCAGGTTCGTGGATACCAATGTCATGCTTAGGTGGCTAGATAATTGTAATATTATAAACAGAAAAAACAAGAAATTAAAAAAAAATTTAGTGTATCAGAAGGAGTGGATTTTTTGGTTTTTCTTTTTCTTTATTTAAATAAAATGAATCACCATCAGGAGTCAGTTCATTAAATAAAATATATAAAGGTAAAAAAAATTATTTCCACATTTGTGATATTAAATTATTTTCAATATGAATAAGATTATTTTCGATGCTATTAGATTTTAAGAAGATGACTTTTAATTAATTTTAAGAAATATAATTAGTCTCTTACTAGACACATATACATATATAAATATATTTTAAATTCGCTTCAATTCTTTGAGCTGCTATACTAATAATATTCGACATATAATTGAAATTGAAAAAAAAATATTTTACAGATAGAAAAATTAATATAAATAATTGTAAATTAAAGAAAATGTAAATTGTATCTTTTATCGAATCAAATCAAATCCGAATTTATGTAATCAAACATTTCCCTTGAAACTTAGAAATTAAAAAATATAAACAAATTAATTAATTTATAATTTTTCTGTAAATTACGAAATAATTGATATAAATACAAAATGTGTATTTCAGTTTTGAATTAATTAACATCATTTTATCAAATTAATTCCAGGAACAGTTTTTGATTTTGGAAAATATTTATTAAATATAATTAATTTATTCATTTACTTTTAGATAATTATAATTACGAAATAATAATTTAATACTTATTAATAATAAACTTTCTAAATTTTTATTAGCAAAAATTTAACAACTTTGTAGCTATTATATATAAATTATTAAAAATTCAATAATTAATTATTCCAAATAATATCCGAATAATAATTTAGTAATTAATAACTAAAAACGATAAATAATTAATAGTTATAAATTAATAAATAATAAATAAAATGAATTATTAAATACGAAAATTTAGTTTGAAATATTGAATTAAATTACTATTATCAATCTTTTTTTTTCTTTTTTTTTTCTCGAATAAGATTTTTGTTGATTGAAAAAACATTAAAACAATTGAAATGATTTATTTTGTCAATTTCATGATTGAGAATTTCGTTAATTAACGAGATGGTAATTACATATTCCCAAATATCGCTTTGAAGTTTAATTATTTACAGT